GAGCTGAGGGGGTGGGATCAAGGGGTGGTGTTGCCACTCAGATGGTAGACCAGGAGAATACTGAAAGAAAAAACCAAACTCACTGCCGTTGAGTTGGATCCAACTTAATAGTGACCCCTCCTTGGGTTTTTGAGGCGGTATCACTATGGAAGTAGATTGCCTAATCTTCCTTCTGAGGAGTGGCTGGTGGATTTGAACTGCCAGCCTCCTGGTTAGCAGTTAAATGCCTTAGGCACTATGCCACCAGAGCTCCCAGACCAGGAGAAGGGGGCCATCCAGAACTGAGGAAGCATCATTGCCATCCCAGAGAGCTTGGAAGGTAGAGTTTAAGCCCAGGGTTAAGGAGCCTCCACCTAGAATCCAGAGGGTGTGGCCAATCCAGTCTGAAAGGCAGGGCCATTGCCTGCATAGACTCATAGAACATAGGATTATTTTCAAACCTTGAGTGCTAATGTAATTTGTTGTGCTGGGTTTTGAAATTGCTTGGTGTCTTTTATCCCTTCGTACAATTTGTTCCATTTGTAATGGAAATGTCTCCATTGTTTCTGTTCTACCATTGCACTTTGGAAGCAGATTACTTGTATTGTAGATTTTACAGGTTCACAGATGAAGAGGAATTTTGCCTCAGGATGGAAAATACTTAAAGTCTCACCCATATTTGATTTGCTGTACTGTCAACACTCTCAAGCGAATAATGTGCATATGTATATAATGTGCATGGTGCTTATAGGAAGCTAATTTGTGAGGGAGTTGTGTGGTTTCCAAAAAAAAAAAAAATAACCAGTGTTATTTGTGTAAAAATATAGTAGATGATTGAGAAGATGAAATTTTGGATTGGAGTTGATTTAAAATTTTTGGGATGATGTGATGGGGTGAATGTGTTTTGCATGTGGCAAGGACATGAATTTTGGGGGCCAAAAGTGTAATGTTGTGGATTGAATTCAATTATGTCTGGCCCAGTATATGTGTTGGAAGCTCTGGTGGCATAGTGCCTAAGGCATTTGACTGCTAACCAGAAAGAAGGCTGGTGGTTCAAACTCACCAGCCACTCCTTGGAAGATTGGGCGGTCTCCTTCTGTAGAGATACCACCTCAGAAACCCAAGGCAAGGAGGGGTCGCTATGAGTTGGAAACGAGTTTGGTTTGGTTTGTTAATATATGTATTGAGCTGTGGTGGCGTAAGGCCTAAGGCATTTAATTGCTAACTAGAAGGCTGGCAGTTCATACCCACCAGCCACTCTTGGAAGATTGGGCAATCTACTTCACTAGACAAACCTGGGAAACCCAAGGAGGGGTCACTGTGAGTCAAGTTTACTTGATGGCAGTGAGTTTGGTTTTTTTTTTTTTTTTTTGTAATCTCATTTGGAAATTGGATGTCTTTGTTATGTTAACAAGGCAGGATTAGTGCATGGTGTATCTTGATTTTCTTTTGAGATATAAAAAGAGCTTAATAAGCAAGTGAGAGAGCAGAGACAGGAAAGAGACATGCCAGGCTACATGAAGATTGCCTTGGAGCAGAAGCTCAGAAGAGACAAGGACCGACCTTCCTCAAGACCTGACAGAGAAAGCCTTCCCCTAGAGCCAGCACTCTGAATTGGTCTTCTAGCCTCCTAATCTGTGAGAAAATAAATTTCTGTTAAAGTCATCCACTTGTGGTATTTCTGTTACAGCAGCATTATATAACTAAGACAAAAGTCATTGGTTCAGAAAAAATTTTAGAAAAATTTTAGTTCAGCTCCAGTAACCACTATAAAATTTTATCACTGCCAAGCAATTGGACTTCTGTGTAGTAGGGTGAGTCAAGATATCCAGCTTCTATTTCTGACTATAATTCATGAAATTGACTATGATTAAATCCACCAGAGTGAATGAAGTTCATCATTGGCATCACTGGTTCAGTTATACATGGTGTCAGTGCATAATCAGAATGCATTGCCATCTAATTTGAAAAGAGAATTATCCATACTCAGTTGTGTCTTAGAAATATGCCATTCGAAGTCCTTTCCTTTTCTTGTTTTGACCCCATGTGCACTGGTCAGAAAAGCTCAAATAAAATGCCATGATACGGTGAAAAGCCTGGCACTTGAAATGCTGTTAAGTTATAAGCTGTATCATTGTTATTTGCCAAGCAGCAGTGCAAAGCATTGAAAGCATATGGGATAAGGAATTTAACATTACCCAATGAATTTGGACTTTGTCCTTGATTTCTGAGAGATTACTTCTAAAACCTTGGGATTTCCCTATTAATTGAAGTGTCTTTGGTGGGGTCTCCAAACTACACCTGTGGGTTTATGCCGATCAGGTGCCTCTTAAGTAGAGGCCGCCTTGGTCAGAAAGCCCCATCACTGATATCAGCTCAACTTCAGGAGAAGGAGATGATTCAAGCAGTCATGTCTACTTAACCAAGCCTCCATAAAGGCTCAACACACATGCAAATGCCTTGGATTCCTGGTTAATCAAGGGATCTCTCCTAGACACCCTTCATTTGTCTCCCTTTTGCTAGGATAGAGCTAATTGTAAGTATCGAACTGTTATGAATTCTGTGAGTCATTCTAACAAATTATTGAGGGAATAGTAGGAGACAGTAGGTCAGAAATGAGGGAGGTGGGGGATTGGGACTTAGAAAGTTAAGACTAGTATACTAAAGCGGTAGAAGGAACCCTCGAGTTTGTAGCCAGCAGATCTGAATTGAGGGAAGAAGACCTGGGGACCTTCAGGCTTATGGCTGGCATCTTGAAAGGGTAGAAGAAACCTCTGAATTTGTAGCCAACAGGTTAGAAGTGAGGGTGTTGTGGGAACCCCGAAGGTTGAGGTTGTGATATCTAAAATCTTGAGCAGACTTGGCAGTCTGCAGGTTTGTGCCCTTTAACTAACTTAGCTCTGGTGGATAAAGTCAGAGGAAGAAGTACAGTTATTATTCAGTTGGTTTTGGAATTGAACAGAACAGAACCAAACTGATTAAATTCCTTTATTCAGTTGTTGTGAGAAGTGGAATTGATTGATAGATCGATCTTACACAAATGCTACATATAAGCTCTGTCACAAGTAAACTCTGCTCTTACACTGAGAAACCAGCCATAGATAATATGTAGTCAAATGAATGTGCTTGTGTTCTAATAACATTTTATTTATGGATACTGAAATTTGAACTTCACATAATTTTCATGTGTCACACAATGATAGTCTTTTGATTTTTTCCCAACCATTTAAAAATATAAAAATGATTCTTAGCTCACGGGTTGTGAAAAATGAGGAAGGCCAGATTTAGCCATTCTTACCTCCTGAATACGTTGTTGTTGTTGTTATGTGCCGTGGAGTCGGCCCCGACTCATAGCGACCCCTCCTTGGGTTTCCGAGGCAGTATCACTACGGAAGTAGGATTGCCCAACCTTCCTTCCGAGGAGTGGCTGGTGGGTTTGAACCGCCAGCCGTCTAGTTAGCAGGCAAGTGTCTTAGCCACTATGCTACCAGAGCTCCTCCTCCTGAATATGGGTGATCATCTCTCCTTCGGGTGTTTGCCTTGTATTCCTTCTTAAGCCATTTTCTACTCTTCTTTACAGAATTGTTTCTAAAATGCAAATCTAGATATAAACTCCAGTGCTTGCTTTACATTTTCATTGGCTCTTCATTATCCTCAGCTGTGATCTACAAGTTGAGATGTATACTTTAGGGAATACTTCGGAAAATCTATCACCCTGTGATAAGAAAATAGCATATCTATTTACATGTATTTGTACCCCCTTCCCTAAAAGAAGAGAAATTTCATGATACGTATATGTAGCTTATGAAAATATTTTGGAGCCCCCTGAAATAGAAATGAAAAAAAAAAAAAAAAAACAAAACACTGCCACTGAGTTGATTCCAACTCATAGCAACCCCCATTGTGTCTCCAAGGCAATAAATCTTCATAGAGGTAGATTGCCCTGTCTTCCTTATGCAAAGGGCTGGTGGGTTTGAACCGCCAGCCTTCTAGTTAGTAGTCAAATGTCTTAGGGCACTGTACTACCAGAGCTCATTGACATAGAACTTAGTCCCCAGTTATTCTTAATCTTACTTCTGATTGTACTTGGCAGATCTTTATCTTTACGCATCCCAAATCCTTTCTTCAACAAACTGGTATTTGTTCCATTAACTTGCCAAGTATTTGTAATGCCTCCAGGCCTTTGCTTTATTGTTGACTTAAAAGAACACTTCGTTGATATATAAGGATTCAGTGCTTTACTTGCTTAAAGAAGCCCAATGTCGTAATACAAAATGAAAGTAATGAAAGTAGCATTTCTTTCTGTAACATCTTAATGTGTTACATAATAAACACACATGCGCACACACGCACATCTTGGTGTATGTGTGCAAAACAGTATCTATAACTTTCAAACTTGGAAAATGAAGATATTGGAAAAAAAGAACCAGCCCTTATCAACCAGCCTTGGGGGAGGGGTGTGTGTGTGTGGTTGTAGATATGTATTTAAACACATCTCTCAATCACATTATCAGCTTCTCAAGAGCAGAATTTTTTAAACATTGATCTTTCAATTCCTGGAGCTCTGGTAGCATAGTGCCTAAGTCATTTGCCAGCTAGAAGGCTGGTGGTTCAAACCTACCAGCCACCCATCAGAAGGAAGGTTGGGGAATCTACTTCCGTAGTGATACCGCCTCGGAAACCCAAGGAGGGGTTGCTATGAGTCAGGTTCTACTTGATGGCAGTGAATTGAGTTGAATTGTTGAGTTTCCTGGAAAGGGGGACAATTTCAGGTATACTGGGAAACTTCAGATTTTTTTTTAAACATGAATTAAGAAATTAATACATGGTTAGAGTACTTTTATGATTGTTTTCTTACAGCATAGAATGCCAGATAAAGTACAAAGTAGGTGTACTGTGTGACATTTTCTCTTTAGCTGTCAACAGTGAATATGACAAGTGTTAGATCCCAAACATAGTGCATGTTACTTTAGATTAAATACAATGGTCATTTTTGATCAAATACAAATGTACTATTCCAGGGGCAGTGTCATTCAAGAATGTGACTGTGGGCTTCACCCAGGAGGAATGGCAGTACCTGGACCCTTCTCAGACGACGCTGTACAGGCATGTGATGCTAGAGAACTATAGCCACCTTGTCTCCGCGGGTAAGGATTGTGTAATATGTAATTCCATATAACATTCATTTCCTTTTTAGCTGCTGATAGGTGGTTTCTTTGTAGGGATTAATGACATTGAAGGTTGAAATTTAGGGTTCAGAGGTGATCCTTGTGCAATAGGTATAAGCTGATTGATCCTTTTCTGTTCACTACAGAAAACATACCCCCCCCCCCATTAAAAAGTTTAACTGGCCCTATTGTTTGTTGTTCAGGTCATTAAGCTGAACTTTTCTGTTCAGAAGCCCTAAAGCCCATGAGCCTGTCCCAAGTCTTATCTTTTCCCATTCACAGGGTTTTGCATTACCAAGCCAGAGGTGGTTTTTAGGTTAGAGCAAGGAGAGGAACCTTGGATGTTAAAAGAAGAATCCTCCAGCCAGAGCCACCCAGGTGAGTTAGTGAATACTTAAATAGCGATAAGCCAAGTTAGATCCTGGAGGATCAGTTTGGATGTTGGTACTTGAAGACTTTTTTAGGAATCTTTGTTTGTTCAGACAGATTGAGAATAATTGGCCTGTATTCCCTAGCTACATAAATCACACTTGCAGGTAATAAACACTGTTATAGCTAAATGTTCTTGGGTTTTTGATTAAACTTTATAGACAGATTTACCATTCTTAATGCTTTCAAAAATCCACTTCTTGCTTTTCTGTCCTTAAATCTTGTTCTTACTCTTTCTCTATTAGTTATTTTCTTTTAATTGTGTGTAATTTTACTTGGGCATCATTTATTCATTCAACAAACATTAATTTAGCATTTACTCATTTGCATTCTGCTTATGTTTATGATCTACGGATATTACTGTGGACAATATAATGATTATGTTGTTATGGAGTGTATATTCTTGTGTTGGAAGAGAGTGAAATGTGGTATGGCGTTTTAGTGAGTTTTTCCAGAAAGGCCTTTTGGGGTCATTATCAGAATGCAGATTTTGGTGAAGCAAGGATGTATGTGAACCATGTGGTTTCTGAATATCCTCGTTATTGGAGGGTTTTGAGCAAAAAGTGACATGATCTGATTCATGTATCTCTGTGGCTGCTGTGCAGAGAAAACGCCAGCTGAGGGCATAGGATGGTATGAGGAGAAGACAACAATAAAGTCTGCAGTTGTCCATGTGTATGATATAATGGTGGCTTACATGAGTTTGGAAGTTATGGAGATCATGTGAAGTGTTTAGTTTCTGGATGAATTTTGAAGATGTACCCAAAATTGGATTTGTTAGATTGCTTTTGGAATATCACAAAAAGTTGCATTAGATATATAGAGATACAATTTATTGAGTTGGAGAGAAGGCTGGAGCAAAACAGTGTTGAGGAGATGGTAAAAAAAAAAAAAAAAAAACCAAAGTCGCTGCCATGGAGTTGATTCTGACTCATAGCGCCTCCCTCTGGATTTCTGATGCAGTAAATCTTGATGGAAATAGATTGCCCCGTCTTCCTTCTGCAGAGTGGCTGGTGGGTTTGAACCACCAGCCTTCCAATTAGCAGTCAAATGCCTTAGGAACTATAGCACCAGAGCTCCTTGAGGAAATTGTAAGGATGTAGCTAAATCTTAACATGAATTGTTATGTAAAATGATAACTGTTAGGTATAAAAAGTAAAAATATTAGAAAATAGCATGTAGTAGTTAATTAAAGTTTTTATAAATTCTTTTATTTTTCTGAAGACATTTTGCTAACTTAAATACACGTGGTAAAATTTAGTGAGCGAAGTAATATCCGTAACTACCAAACCTGGAAAGTGAAGAAAATGGAAAAGAACCAGCTGTTGTCAAAAAGATGCAGTCAGACAAAAAAAGGTTAATAAATGAGTGTGGAATAAAGGTTGGTAAACATAGAACAAATAGAAATGACAAGAGTCCAGATATTTTAGTAACCACAATAAATACAAATGGGTTAATTTTTCTGATAGAGATTATCAAGTTGTATTTTTAAAAAGCTACCTATAGACTTGCTGTGAGTTACACATAAAGCATTTAACATAACCTATAAAAAGAGAATATAAAAGGAATAAACATACAGAATCAAATACTAAAGAAAATAGAATTGAGATCTCTATATAGCCATGTTGGGCATTCCTACTTCCGTAGTGATACTGCCTTGGAAACCCAAGGAGGGGTCGCTATGAGTCGGGGCCGACTCGATGGCAAATAACAACAACAACAATATAGCCATGTGCTGCATATTGTATATTTGGGCAACCTCAGACTGTGTATATGTCAGTGGTCCCATAAGGTTATAATAGAGTTCAGAAATCCCAATTAGTGAACAAGATATGGTGGACATAACCAGACATAGAGTGTATGCAAAGGTTCCTGTACACAACACGTGTATCTCATGTCTCTTGCATAAATCAACTGTGTTGCCATGCATATAATAGCACAGTACATACATAACCTATAAAACATATGTTGTCTATAGTCATAATAAATACCTCTGTTACTGGCTTATGTTCATATTATACTTTCTATGATTAGTTCAGTGTGAACTTTCCTTACTTACAAATGAAAAGGTTACTATATAACAATGCTTTGAACTTGTAGACAGCAGCATGTAATCTTGTTTATCATGTGTCTCTTGAGTGTTGTAGCGCTCTCTGTTTAATTTGAATTGCATCATCACTCTCAAATGGAGCAAACCCAGTGCTAGTGATAGCAGCAGCAAGAGGCAGAGGAGAAGTATCAATTTGGAAGTGAAACAGAAGGTAATTGAATAACATGAAGATGGAAAATCAGTGTTTTTGCAATAGCAAAATGCTGTTGCTCGTGATTTCATGTTCACACAATGTACAAATTACAGAACGTCCTATTTCACAGAATGTATCATGGACATTAAGTGATACATGACTGTATTGAGATCAGATAAAATGTCTATTGGGCTATAGATGCTCACTACACACCCATCATAAAAGGAAAAGAGAACTAAAACAATAGCTTCAAATAAAACTTGATAGTACTATAGAGAGAAATTGTTAAATATACTATTATGAGAGATTGCAGCACACCTGTTTGATTTATTGGTAAATCAAGGTTAACATTCTTTAATAAAAACCTAGAAAATTTGAAACACAAATTAATAACCTTAAAATAAGAATCCTAAGCAAAGTATTAGGAAATTGTACCAGTAATGAGTTTAACATGATCAGGTGTGTTTACCCTAGCAGTGCCAAGTGATTTAACTTTAGCAAGTATTTGATTGTAATTTACCTCATTAATACTTTAAAGAATAAAAACTCATGTCATCTTAATAGATGTAGGATAAAAATCAGTATCTATTTTTAATAGAAATGTCTGCTAAAATAGCATAGAAGGATACATCTTTAGCCTTACAAAGGGTAACAGCTATCTGTTTCGGAGATCATTTGCCTACAGATGGGAGAAAAATCATATTTTTACTGTCACTGCTTATATTAATATTGTTTGGAAATTCCTGCCTAGAGTAATGAGACAAAAAACATGAAATTAATAAAAGTTATAAACATTGGAAAACTAAACTTATTTACAGTTGCTATGGTTGTCCTAATGAAACAGTAAAGGAGTCTGCAGAGAAATGATTCAAAATTCTATGTTAAAGTTGGCTGAATAATAAGATCAATATATATAATCACATTTCTTATTACTAGTAATCTTTAGAAAACACAATTCGAAGAAATTAAACCATTTATAAAAGCAAGAAAAGTGTATTGAAAGACATTAAAAGAACCTAAATATGTAGATGGGGAGCACTCAATGATATCATCAAGTTGCCAAGTCCTGCCCTAAAATTACAATTTCAGTAAAAAGTCTCCACCATTTTTTGTTTGTTTTTGCTTGGAGTTTGATTTGTTTGTTCTTACTGTTTTAGCACTTAATGTGGTAAGTTATTATTGATATGGAATAAGAATAAGAACAGGAAGGGAAACTTGGTCTCCTTCCTGCATGCAAAGATGTGTTGCATTGCTTTTTCATGATTTAATGTAATGCAACTTAAGAGTATATTTAATTGAAGTAAAATTCATATAACGTAAAATTCACCATTTTAACTATTTAAAACTGTATGTTTCAGTGGCTTCTAATACATTCACAGTGTTGTGCAACCAAACCATCACAACACTCTAATTCCAGAACATTTCATTACCCCAAAAAGAAACCCTATATCCTTTAAGCAGTAACTGCCCACTTTACCTTCTTCCCAACCACTGGTAATCACTAATGTACTTTCTGTCTCTGTGGATGTGCCTGTTCTGGACATTTCATATAAATGGAATCATGTAATATGTGACTTTTGATGTCTACTTTCATTTGGTTATATTTTAAAGATTCATCCGTGTTGTAGCATACTTCATTCCTTTTTATGGCTGAATAATATTTCATTTCATGAATATGACATATTTTGTTTATTCATTCATCAATTGATGGACATTTGGGTTCTCAGTTTTTCAGCTAGTATTAATGCTGCTCTGAATATACATGTACAAATTTTTGGTTGAACACTTGCTTTTATTTCTTGTGGGTATATATCTAAGAGTGGACTTTCTGGGTCATATGGTAATTATATGTTTTATTGTTTAGGGAACTGCTGAAATGTTTCCCACAGTGGCTACACCATTGTATGTTTCCAGCAGCAATATGAAAGTTACAAGTTCTTATAACCTTGTCATTACACATTATTTTTGTTGTACTTCTTTCAGTTACAGTCATCCTAGTAGTTGTAAAATGGTATCTCATTGTGGTTTCATTTTTCATTTTCCCTATGACTAATGATGTTTAGTATCTTTTCATGTGCTTATTGACCAACCATTAGTATATGGCCATTAGTATGTGGTTGGTTGTCTTTTGTTTTGAATTGTAAGAGTTCTTTACATACTCTGAATATTAGCCCTTTATCAGATATGATTTGCAAATATTTCTTCTATTTTATGGATTGTCTTGTTAAGAGTATGCTTTGCACAAAAGTTTTTAATTTCAAGAAGATCCAATTTATTGATTTGTTTTGTTACTTGTGCTTTTGGTGTCATATCTAAGAAGCCATTGCTATATCTGAGGTTGTGAAGATTTGCTCGTTTATGTTTTCTTCTAGGAACTTTTTAATGTTAGCTTTTATATTTAAGACTTTGATCCATTTTGACTTAATTTTTGTATATGGTGTGTGGGAGAGTTACAAACTTCACTCTTTTTTATGTAGGTACCCAGTTATCCCCAGCACCATTGATTTTTTCACTATGGGTCTATTTCTGACTCTCAATTCTAGTCCATTGCTCTCTATATCTATCCTTATGCCAGTAGCACACTATTTTGGTTACTGTAACTTTACAGTAAGTGTTGAAATTGGGAGTATGAACCCTCCAACTTTTTTCTTCTTTTTCAAGATTGTTTGGTTATTTGGAGCTCATTGCAATTCCATATGAATTTGAGGATCAGCTTGTCCATTTCTGCAAAAAAGGAATTTGAATTTTAATTGGGATGATATTAAATCTTTAGATCAATTATACTATATTTTTAATATTATAATTTAAACAATATCAAGTCTTCTAATCTATTTAATTATATAATATTTAATTTCTTCTAATTTTTCATTTCTTAGTTTTAATTGTACAAGTCTTAACCTCGCTGGTTAAATTTATTCTTCAGTATTTTATTCTTTTGTATTCTATAGTGAATAGACTGTTTTCTTAAATTTGTTTGTTCATTCTGGCATATAGAAACATAACTGATTTTTTTGTTCACCCTGTATTCAGCAACTTTGCTTTTGTTTGTTTGTTTGTTTTTTACTAGTTCTAGTAGTTCAGGTTTTTTTTTTTTTTTGTGTGTGTGTGTATTCTTTGTACAATTTTCTGTGTGTTAGCATCATGCCATCTATGACAGAGATACTTACGCTTCTTCCATTCCAATTTTGATGCCTTTTATTTCTTTTTCCTTGCCTAACTGCTCTGGCTAGAACTTCTAGCAAAATGTTGAATATCAGTGGTGAAAGTAGCATCCTTGTCTTGTTTTTTATCTAAGGTGAGTTTTCAGTCTTTTACTGTTGAGTATGATGTTAGCTGTGGGGTTTTCAGAAATACGGTTACTATGTTGAGGAAGTTCCCTTCTATTGCCATTTTTTTTTCTTTATATTTTATGTATTTTGTTGTTGTTGGGAATGGTTTTCAGAAATACGGTTACTATGTTGAGGAAGTTCCCTTCTATTGCCATTTTTTTTTCTTTATATTTTATGTATTTTGTTGTTGTTGGGAATATACACAGCAAAACGTACACCAGTTCAACAGTTTCTACATGAAGAATTCAGTGACACTGGTTTCATTCTTAGAGTTGTACAACCATTCTCACCCTAGTTTTCTGACTTCTTCCTCCCTCATTAATATAAATTCATTGCCCCCTAAGTTTCCTATCTAATCTTTCAAGTTACTGTTGTCAACTTGATCCCATACAGTCAACTTGATCCCATACAGATCTTAAAAGAGCATAATGTTCAAGGCAGACTTTTTTGTTGTTTGTTTTTACTAGTTAAACTAATCTTTTGAGTAGGGCTAAGATTGAAAAGCCTAATAACCAAGTAGAGGTCTGTGGCAGGGGATGAGCAGGACTTATGGGAAGAAAATTGACTGGCTTATGGAGAGCAGAGAATAGTGATTTTGGTTATGAGGAATGATTACCAATAGCAATTAGAATCCAGGATTTTATTTGATTTCTTGGTACTTTGGGACATTAGGTACAGTATATTATAGGGTTTTGAGCATAATATTTGTGGTAGTTAAAGTTATGTGTTAACTTGGCTTGGCCTGGTTTTGAGTGGCTGGGCAGCTAGATGTAGTTATTCCCCATTATGAGACTGGTTATCACTACTGGAGCAGCTGAGTAGCTTCATTAGGGATGTGGTCTGCTTTCAGTATATAAGAAGCATTGAGAAAGGTCTCCAGCTTTTTGGCATGCTTGGACCCTGCATTTAGCTGAATCTTCATTCAGCAGCCTTCCGCGTTTCCTGCCGATCTTGTGGCTGTCTCTGGACTTGAACTAGTGGCCTGCCATGCTGTTTGGTAATCTTGGGACTGTGCCATTTTTTTGTTGACCTTGAGTTTGTCAGCCTCAGTACCCAGCAGCTGCCTGTGCTAAGAGATCTCTTTGGCTCCAGTGGGCTGGGAGCAAAAGGCAGAGCTGAAGCCCAAGGTTGAGGGTCCTGCACCTACCTCCTAGAACTTGGCATTTTGAATTCAGACTTCTAGCCTCCAAAACAGTAAAGGAATAAATCCCTACTTCTTAAAGCTACCTACATGTGATATTTCTGTTGGAGCAGCAGAAGGTAACCAAAACTATTGTTAATGTTGGATTGAATGTGGGTAGTAACAGGATAATAACTGTCATATTCAGAAAAAAACTTCCTAATAAATAGGTATAAAGATTAATAAAGATCTCAAAACTAGGTTGAAGACTATGGTCTTTAAGATTCATTCAGTAAATCAGAAACAGAAGGGCTGAAACAAATACATATATGCAATGTAAAGGATTAGTTTTGTGTGAGGAGCAAGACTGTTTATAAGTGTATTAGTAGATAGAAATTGGGAAACTTAACAATCTGATAGCCATGATACATTTATTAGTGAGCAATGCTGTTAGAAGAAAATGAAACTACAGTACCTGAGTAAAAATGCAATGATCTTACTTCAAGAATACCCTAAATGTATGCTTTTTCAGACATTGGATTTCCATGTGAATCAGAGCTAGAATGAAAATTACAGTAAGACAATAGCTTTGCTTTTTTAACATGAGAAAATGAATTATTACTTTGTGAAAGTTGTTTGTTGTTGGTAAAGTAGAACATAAAACAGCTGTATGGGATTGGAAGCATATATGTTGGTGAAGATCTTATGACAAGATAAGGACCTAGATATTCATTTGCCTCCTTCAAACCTTTTTCTTCCTTATATTTCCCCTCAACACTGTTGTCAACTAATTTTCCTTGTGATTTCTGCCTGATATTCATAGTTTTGTTGTATTTCCCATTTATCCCACAAGCATTCATGCAAATAGTACCCTATTGCATTTATTTCACTTTCTCGCTCTAGTTTTGAAGGCCACATTTCTACAGTACCAAGTTACTGTGTTTTATTACCAGATTTATCTTCAGATCTTCAGATTTATTACCAGATTTCACTACTGTAGGTTATTTGTTTTGTTTACTCCTAGGGAGCAAAAAGTATGTCCTTGGGATTATTTTCAGACCAGAAGACCAGGCTCTACTGGGTATTTGTATATTAAGTCCCCTTTCTGCATGATATGTATGTTATGGTATGGTAAATTATTTTCATTTCTAGAATTCTGCATAGTTGACCAGATGGAGAAGAGCCAGGAAAACCAAGTCCAGCATTTGTGGAAAATTTATTTCATCAACAAAAAAACACTAAGGAGAGAAATAGTACATTAGGAAAAGCATTTTATCTTGACACAGACCCTGTTTCAGTGAGAAAAAGAACCTAATAAATTTGACTTGTGGAATGAGTTTGGATTATTTTTCAGAACTATTAGTAATAGAAAATCCTTTGTAAGGAAGCGTAATGAGTTTAATGCATATAGAAAATTGCTGCTTTGTACTAAGCAGGAGAATCCTCATTCCAGAAATAAGCCTTTTGAATATGATAGGTATGGGACAGCCATCAGTCAAAATGAGGACCTGTTTCAACCTCAGGATATTCAAACTTTGAAGCAACTTATGAATGTAATGAATATGGGAAAGCCTTCTGTAAGGAAGCAGTCTTCATTACCCATAAGATGGCATGCTCATGAGAGAAGCTCTGTGAATATAATAAACTTGTAAAAACCTTTTCTGAGAGACCAAAATTAGTTGTTCATTAGAGAACTCACACAATGAAGAATCATTGTGAATATTATGACTGTAGAAAGATGTCTTGGTGAGAAGTCAACTCTAAATATGCACCAGAGTTCTCATGACAACAAAATACTATGAGTGTGAGAATAATTTTGGAGGCAGTCACTCCCTACTCACACTGAGAGAACTCACAAAGGAAAAATAAAATTCATGAGAAACCAAATCGTTCTTGGTCAGCATCAGGAAGCACACACAGGTAAGAAAACCTATAAAAATAATCAGTAAGGGAAATCCATTTGGAAGGCACTAATTCTTTCTAAATGAGCAAGCACACATAAGAGAATAACTCTATGAATGTACTGAGTGTGAAAAAACCCAATGTATTCAGTGTGGGAAAACCTTCACAAACAGGTCAGGCCTCAGAGTTCATCAGAAGATACACACAGGGCAGAATCCCTATGAATGCAGTGAATGTAGGAAAATCTTCAAATACAGGTCAGGCTTCACCATGCATCAAAGATCACACATGGGGATAAACCCTGTGAATGCAGTGAATGTGCAAAAAAAATTCTGTGAGAAGTCACATCTCTATATAAGTACATCAGAGAACTCATATGGAGGAGAAACCCTACGAATGTAATGAAGGTGTAAAAACCTTCCTCTACAAATCAGTCTCATGGTACATCAAAAGATACACACAGGGCTGAAACCTTATGAATGTAATGAATGTAGGAAAATGTTCTCCCAAAAGTCATATTTCATTAATAATCAGAGAACTCATACTGGAGCGAATACTTAACAAATGAAATGAATGTGGAAAATCTTTCTCTGTGAAGTCTTTTGACTAGTATGCATCAGAGAACTTGCACAAGGAAAACCCAATGAATGTACAGAGTATGGGAAAACGTTCTTCCAGAAGTCATCCCTCTCAGTACATTAGGCAGTACATACTGGGGGAGAAACCATATGAATGTAATGAGTGTGGGAAAACTTTTCCCCAGAAATCATCCTTACATTACATCAGAAAACACACACAAGAGATAATAAACAATACGAACACATTCAGTGCAGGAAAACTTTTAACCAAAAATCAGCTCTCATTGAACATCATAGAACTCACACAGCAGAGAAACTTCATAAATGTAATGAATGTGGTAAAACTTTGTATCCCAAGTCATGCTTTATATACTCAAAGTCATGCTTTATGTTCTCAAAGAATACATACAGGGGAAACCTGTTAGTGTAATGAATGTGGGAAACTTTCTACCAGAAATCATCCCTCACGGCACATAGAAAAAATGCACCCTAGGAAGAAATCCCATGAATCTACAAATGTGGTTAAAGCCTTTTGCCAGAATTCAGAATTCATTAATTGAAGAAACTACACAGAGAAGAAATCCCTGTCAACATCCTGAACGTCCAGAAACTTTTTCTTACCTGACTTACTTACATCTCAAACAGCACAGGGGAGGATCTTCATAAATATGGAAAATCATCATCATCCTTTTTTTAAAAAATTTTTATTGTGATTTGGGTGCAGCTTTACAGAGCAAATTCATTTTCCATACAGCAGTTCATACACATTGCGTTTCATGACATTGGTTTCAATTTCCCATAACGTAACACTCTCTTCCTACTTCCTCCTCATAGTTACCTCTTCCCTGTGTCTTTCTTTCTGGTCCTATGCATTCCTGCCCCCTGAGCTGTCTCCCTGTGTATACACTGCCCTTCTGTTCTCCCATGATTTCTCTCTCCAAGGAGTGTATCTACCTGATGTAAATGTTCAGCCCATATGCCTATCTTTTATTTGGCTGGAAGCCACAGGAGTGAGTTCAATTCCAGACCTGAAGGGCATCTAAGGGCCATAGTGTCAGGGGTTTCACCAGGCTCTTTCAGACCAACAAACCTGGTCTTTTTTATTTTTATTTATTTGTTTTTTTTATGATTCTGATTTTGTTACACATTGTTCTCCCACTCTGTCCTAGATTTCTCCTACACAGATCCCCTTCTGAGTGGTTTACAGTGGTAGCTGGGCATCATCTAGTTCTTCTGGTCTCATGGTCACATAGGCTGAGGATTGCATGGTGTACCAGTCCTTTGGAGTAATTGTTTCCATGTATCTTTGGTTTTCTTCATTCTTTGCTCTGGACCAGGAGAGAAGACCCATCGTTGCAGCTAGATGTCCGCTTGCAAGCTTTTAAGATCCCAGCTGCTACTCACCAAAGTAGGATGTGAAACAATGTTTTTGTGTAGCATGTTATGCCAGTTGAGTTTGATGTCCCCTGCAACTGTGGTCCCAAGCCCATAGGTCCAACTGCTTGCTCCCTCTGGGTAGCTGGCTGTGGCCAAGAAGTCACCACAACTTTGTCCTTTGTCAGCTCTACTATATACCTGGCCATTCTCACAGCACATACAGATAAACTGTGGAAACATTGTGTGCCAACCCTATACATGGTCATGGGCACACTCCCCCCCTGCCTAGACAAACCTAAATGTTCAGCCATATGTAACAGTTTTTAAAATAATTAACTATTGAATATGTGTAAGTATATATAAAGGTAACCCTGGTAGGAGTGGTGAAGTGCTTGACTGCTAACTGAAATGGTGACAGTTTGAACCCAGCAGCTGCTTCCTGGGTGAAATGGTGGTAGTCTCCTTCTGTAAATGTTACACCTTTGTAAACCCTATGTGACCATTCTTCTCTGTCATACTGGATTGCTATGAGTTGGAATTGACTGAATAGCAAAGGGTTTTGGCTTACATAGAAGGATTTTATTCACTGGAAATACAGCTGTTTTAGGATGGAGAATAAAAATTTTTCTCTACAAATATTATAAGAATAAGGTAGGATACCAAAATTGTTATTGAAAATATTATGTTAAAGACATATATACTGTGTGAAAGGAATCTTTGCACAGTGGAATTAAATTGAGTAATTTAAGTACTGTATTAAATACAAATGTGAAAAGTCACTGAGTTTTGTAGTATACTTAGTAAGAAAAGCATTTTTTGTGTTGGTTTGGTTATTGGAAGCCCTCACAATCCTAGGTAAAATGTACTCTTAGCTTAAAAATTATTACATGTTCCTATTCCTACACCAGCCACTCCTTGGAAGGAAGGTTGGGCAATCTACTTCGGTAGTGATACTGCCTTGGAAACCCAAGGAGGATTCACTGTGAGTCTGGTCCGACTCAATGGCATATAACAACAAACAACAATTCCTACACTTAACACCTGTGTCTTTTTCAAGCATACAGAAAAAAATGTGTATTTTAATTGAAATATCTATAGAATGTTAATTGATGTTTACATATTTTTCTTGTCACTCACTTGGCATATAAAAACAGATATGACGTTGTTACTAAACTATTTCTCCAATAAAGAATAAAGTCAGTGTGTCTGATTTTCATCCAACTCAGAGTTACTCAAATGGAGTTATAAACTAGGTACACAATATTTAAGTAGAAATTTATTTAAAGGACTTCCATTTCTGCTTTTGAACATCTGTGGAACTCGCTGTCTCACTACCAACAACTAGAAAATGCAGGAGGATATAATAAAACAGTTAGGAACCTGGAAAAGTGCTCGAAACACCTTTTAAAAGCCATTAGACAGTGGAGATTGCAGAACTGTCATTCTTCAGAGAAAAGAAGTGAATATCATTATCTTTAAAATTGCCTCAACTTCCTGTCAGAAGGAAATACGCAGACTGTGGCATAAGTAGGGGTAATTGCAAACATACCTTTGCTTAATAAAGAAAGTATATTTTGGAGTTTCAGGGGCTAAGGCAGCTGAAATTTATAAGGAAGATACTGGAAAGGGAACTAGTATAGAAAGAAGTCTGAGTACCAGTCCGCACACATGAAAGGTGAGGCTCTTTAAGACTTGGCACGAAAACCTTCTGATGGAGCAACAGTTATAGGAATTTCTAAGACAAGCTATTCCTCAAGCTTATACAGAGGTCTTATCAGCCTGGTTCCCTCCCTCAGATTGTAAAATCTCAGTCTTTTGGTTCCCATTTGGTATGGTTTTTGAAGTCTCCATGGATGTTTCAGAATGGACAAGAGATGGAGATGGTTGCGATACCAAAAATCAGGCTTCCGTCTGCATTTTTACACCTTCCCCACCCTCAGTGGAGCCCCTATCTCCTAATAGAAAGAATTACCCATATTCAGAAAGATGGAACAAACCTCCATTAATACAGTGAGTAAGAAGGTATCCTGCCTACTATACAGACTGTTCACATCTATAGCAGAGGAGAGACAACTCAGCTGCACAGCTCATCTCTGTGCATGGATGTAATCATGCTCTACAATCTCAGTAACATTCTAGAAGAGATTAGGAACCATGGTCATTGTTTTTAGAATGTTAGGGACTTTACACCTTCCCCAGCATTAAGAGATTGTGGGTTCATGCACTTGGGCTCAAGATTAACAAGTCTGTCTTAGTACTGGCTGTTCTTACTTGAAGGGAGAAGTGATCTAGATCACCTGTAAAGGATGCAAGCAATCAAGAGGAAGGAATGAGAAGACCAAACTTGAAGTCAGTGTTGGGAGACTTTAGGCAACTCACTTCTCATCTCAGTGCTTACAGCCTTCTCTGTATGATGGTAGGTGCTTAATGTATATTTCTTGAGTACCTTCTGTGCACCAGATCTGTGTTAGAAATACGCAAATTCTAGTTTTGCTAAAATAATGGTAATGGTGATCCTGTAATTAAAATGAAGAGAATAAGGACCAGTGATGGGAACTGACTCTACAGGGGGAGAGGTTGGTTTCACCTACACATCTGAGATACAAATGTATAAATATTTAGCTGTGTGCCTATAATATGTGATTGTGTCTTTTTAAAATTAATTTTCATTTCACAGGTAGTGTTGTTAGGTGCTGTTGAGTTGATTCTGATGCATAGTGACACTGTGTAATGGATTAGAACTGCCCCATAGAGTTTTCTTGGCTTTAGTCTTTATAGATTACAAAGTTTTTCTCTCACTGAGCCACTGGTATGTTAGCATTGCCAGCCTTTTCAGTTTGCAGCCAAGTGCTTAATTGTTGTGTCACCAGGGTCTTTTTCATTTCATATGTACTATATGACATTCAGGGATCCCTCCTGGCACAATGGTTAAAGCGGTCAGCAAAGGCTTAGTGGTTTGAACCTATTAGCTGCTCTGAGTGAGGCAGATATGGCAGTCAACTTCCATAAAGATTTACAGCCTTGGAAACCATGTGGGTAATTCTTTCCTATCCTATAAGGTCAGTAAGAGGTGGAATTGACTCAGCAGCAGTGGGTTTGACTTCTGGTATATACCATTCATTTCCTGAATAAATAATGAATAAAGATCTACCACTTGTCTGTCAGTCAGAATGTGGTAGCTTGCATATTACTCCAAGGCTGGAGGCTGTGCCTCTGGTATTTGTAATACCAGCAGGGTCACCCATGGTGGACGGGTTTCACTGGTTCACTGGATCTTCCAGACTAAGAAAGACTTGGAAGAAGGTGATGAAGAAGCTTAATACCAGTCAAAAAAAGGAATGGAGTTGATTGCTCACATGTAAGTTCAAGTTGAAGCTGAAGAAAACTAAAACAAACCCAAAGGAGCCAAAATATGACCTTGAGTATATCCCATCTGAATTTAGAGACCATTGGAAGAATAGATTTGACGCATCGAACACCAAGTGATCGAAGACCAGATGAGTTGTGGGATGACATCAAGAACATCATACATGAAGAAAGCAAAGGGTCATTAAAAAGACAGGAAAGGAAGAAAAGACCAAAATGGATGTCAGAAAAGACTCTGAAATGTACTATTGAACAGAGAGTAACTAAAGTGAATGAAAGAAATGTTGAAATAAAAGAGCTGAACAGAAGGTGTCCAAGGGCAGCATAAAAAGACAAAGTAAAGTATTTTAATAAAATATGCAAAGACCTTGAGTTAGAAAATCAAAAGGGAAGAACACGCTTGGCATTTGTCAAGCTGAAAGAACTGAAGGAAAAAAAAGCCTTGAATTGCGATATTGAAGGATTCTATGGGCAAAATATTTATGATGCAGAAAGCATCAAAAGAAGATGGAAGGAATACACAAAGTCACTGTACCAAAAAGAATTGGTTGATGTTCAGTTGTTTCAGGAGGTGATATGTGATCAAGAACCAGTGGTACTGAAGG